GCGATATTTATGGCGATTTCATTTTATTCGCCAAAGGAGAAGTTAATATCGGGGAATATATTTACTGAGCCYGATAATTGTTTTAGTATTTTTAGCAAAAGCGAATTTAATAAATAACGGAGAAAGAGTTTTTTTTYCCAAATTCTATSTATCTATTTCTGCAAGCAGCACAAATCGACAAGCGAGCGTGCAGGTGCGCGGTTATATTCAGCATAGTGCAGAAAATTCCGGATGTGACGCAGGCTAAGTTTTCGTATGACTGTGAAAAGCTCAGTGTCGTAAGCGTGACCGTGATACTTTATAGAATTTTAATTGGCTGATTTTTTTCACCCGCAAATATGATTGGTCTAAAAGTGCTGTGATCTTGGCGTGACCGTGTCCGCGCCGTGTTTATGCCGTGTTCCGGGTATTTGATTGGATGGAGAGTAAATTCTCGTGCAATGTGATTTGTCTGGCGTATCCCTTGCTGTGTCACGACCGTGTTCGTGCCGTGAACTTTTCACAGTCATACGAAAACTGCACTAATATAACAGTAATATAGCAGCACAAGACATTAATTGTGACCAATGACTGGCGCGCCGGATTCATTATATTCACTTGTGTAAAAATACTAAAAACTAATATGGCATCATCCTTATTTTTTCCTAGTGAGTCAACAYGTTTGGGATTAGGTTTTAAAAGTCAAAAGCCGCTTCTATTGAAGTCGTTGGGTGTATTGCGACGGGGCACTTTACTTAAAATATGGGTGCCCTTTTAATATTGCTTTTAGTTGATAATAGATGTATAGGCTTAACTCCTTTCCGACAAAATCTCTCAAAAGGCGCGTTTGTACGTCAAGAGAACTTTTACGATTGGTATCTAAAGGAAGAGTTCGTTTTTAAGAGTATACTTTAACCAAGTGGTTTCATTCATTCCGCTAAGTGCGGAAGAATTAGCCAATCAAATCCGYGAATTTTAGTATCGATCAGATTAGCAATACGGGATAAGCCAATCAGCGGATCGATTCTACATCACGTGTATAAATACGCCAATCAACGGCACTCATGTGTAACAAATGCAGGGTTAAGCCAATCAGCGGATCTTTCTACATCACTTGTAAGGATAAGCGGATCTGCGGATCATTCAATTGCAGCCATTCGGAATCAGCCAAAAGAACGTATTTTCCTAAGGGGACATTAATGCGAAGGAATGGGGAATTCTAAAGCGGCTATTTATATATGAAGAGGATTAGAGGATGCCAGCTATGAGGAGAGGAAGGAGAGTAGGGGCGAGGCATAAGTAGTTGGATATGGAGGAGGGAGGGGCATGAAGGCTCACACATCAGTGTAAGAAGGGGGCATTAAGAGTTTTGGCTCTTTCTTGGAGTCATCACAATGCCGAATACAATGACTTTGGAACTAAACAATACCCTGCAATACAAAACCCCTAACCAATAATACAATACATCTTGCAAGAAAGACCCACAGTTGGCTTAGAGTGTCATATAAAGAGAACTGAAGGGAATATGAAGAGTAATGGTGGATAGGGGAGGTAGTAAGATATGTTTGTGGTAAATAAGGTGTTCTGGGCCTACTTACCGCCATACGTGTGGCATCTTGAAGCATTCCCTCATGCTCTTGTTCCTTGTCTTGTAAAGCTAATGCGTTCATTTGAGCTGAAGAAAAACATACACCATGTAAATAAGAACGTTGGTCCAAACGAGCATTATTCTCATTCCAACAGTAGCGAAACAAATAAAGATTTATTAAAAGATATTTATTATTATACAAAGATATTTATTTCATTATTTTCGTATCATGGGTTGTGAGTTAAGGTCAAGCGGGATTTCTGTCTTGGACATCATGCCAGAGGTAAATATTTGTATATTTTGTAAATATTTTACAATATTCTGATGGTTTGAAATAAATATTGATTGAGTGATTAAAGAGGTATCTACGCTATTACTGATTACGTGTTGATGAACTAACGGCTTACTACCGTGGTGTTCTAAATCAATGGATCATTTATGTCGCATGCATGATATGTCTGGTTCCACRAGTGTCATCATTTCCTTTTCGTTACAGTGCCTTGTGTCATGAGTTTTCACACGTGACAAATCTGCTCTAGTGTTTGTTCTTACAGTTTACTTTTTTCAAAGACTTAGAGCACCTTTCATGCATCTGTGACTCTAGAAGCGGGACGTCAGATGGAAGACATGAAACACAGGAATTTATCAACCTTATTCAGGTGACATAAGCAATACCAAAAGCACCGTAATCTACAGTAGGGTATAAAGTAGCAAGCTCACCTTCAGCCTTTAATTTTGCCATGTCTTCRTTTAGAGCATCCACAGCTTCCTCTAAGATACGTTTCTTTGATTCCATCTCTTTTAGAGAGATACCCATAGACTGCATCTTTGCTTCATGCTAACAAACCAACAATGGATAATTGTTGGTAAGTAACCCAATCTATCTGTCTTTCCCCAAGATTTCCCATGATGCACGAGGTTTTACTTATGCAGCACCCATGCTGACTGAAAAATAGACTTCTCTGCACATAGCCTCACATTCAAGTGCTTGAGAATAAATAAACACGGCTGCCACATGAGTAAGACCATGCCCATGCTACTTCTCTCAGTCCCATATGTGTAGGATTTTCCTGAGTTTTATGAACAGGATGCATTCTGGTCTAGGTTGGGTAGACCACCAGACTAGACCACAACGCATGATGTTTGGTATCTCAGAAATCGYATATTGGACAAGGAGTATGGATTTAGTTTTCAAGTCAGAGACCCTTATTTTTGCCGTCTACATTCTCATAGCATTAATAGCTGTATTTACCTGGGAGATAATGAGCTGATATTTCTGCACATTAGATTCATGACTGTCCAGCTGTTCTTTCAGTCCTTTCTCTGAGGTCTCCATGCTGCTGTGTCTCTGGAAAATTTCAAATTTCAAAACTTTAGTTTTTATTTTAACTTTGGTTGTTTTTTTATTTTATTTTTCTTCCACGTCTTCTATTTGTGTATGATTAGCGCTGTTGTGTGACAGATCATCATGATTGGGTAAACATWGTTGTTTGTGATATGTTATTGGTTGATAAAACAGTATCTCTTTTATGCTGTATTCAAATGTGATGTTTAATTCGATTGGGAAGGGGGTTGCATTGGAGGAGGAGAAGGGGGAGTAAAATAGGCAACAAGCTCTGTGTTTTGTTACTTCAAAAGAGTTGGTGATTTTACTGTTACACTGAATGTTGTGTGCAGTATCAAGTTGTGTGAAAATACTTTAGATCAATGGAAA